GCACTTTCCTCCCCAGCAGCGCCTCGTGCTGTTTGATCCACTTGTGGAAAGACGGACAGCCACTCAGATCCACCAGGTGCAGAACTTCACAGCGGCCCTGCGACAGGAGCGACAGACAGGATGGTGAATGGTCAGGTCACCTTGCACACCGTGTGACATGCGTGTCATGGGAATTGTCTACATGGAAAAGGGGGTAGAGGCGTGTGCTGGACCCCGAGGCTGTCCTACTGGTCCTGCTATCTGATAGTACTATAGCGGTGTTAGCATTGGTGGTCGTCTGAAATCCGGGCTGACGCCTTCTACGCACCAAAAGATTCCCACAACTTCCGTGATTTGTAGTAGAAAATAAATCGTCCAACCCCCAAATAATAGTCCAGATGCCAATGTATTCCAATGTAGGGTCAGGTAGAAGATCAAAAAAGGATTCCAATGGGCTTCAGGGGCCAAACTTGCACCTTCATCAGAGCTTAAAGGAGAAGTATGGGGTCAGGGTTTTTCCCCGTAGTTCTCCTTAGGGTAACGGGGAGGACACAAACTAGCGTCCTCCCGTCACCCTAGGCTCAGTATATAGGGAGCTGTAGCTCGCGGTATACTGAGACGCCGCAGCCGAAGCGGATCCCGACAATACTGTTTGGATCCGCCCAGCTGCGTGAGTGACAGCCGACTCTGCCTATCCAGAGGCAGAGCCAGCTGTGACCGCCCCTTCCCCCGTCCGTTCCGCCAGTCAGCGCTGGAGGATCGGACGGGGGGGAATCCCTACAGGGAGCCGTGAGTGACAGTCACGGCTCTGCAGGGATAGATCGAGAAGTGAGTGAGCGACGGTATGTGTTTGCTCACCTCCTGATCTACTGCGCCAACCTGTGACAGTCTCATTGTCACAGGTCGGCTCAGATTATGAGGCTGAGTGACAATCACCCCCCCCCCCCCCCTCATAGTTCTCCTTTTAAAGATAGGAAACAATGTTTCTAGTTCATAGGATTTGGTGATTTGGATAATGTGAATGTCGCATGATGGAGACTTCTGAGGAAAGTTCTTCTTACCTTTGTCACGAAGATAATGTTCTTGGTCTGGTGAGTGTCCCCGATGATGACCTGGCTGTGGTGGCACTCCTCCGTCTTGCAGTGGTCGGCCAGCTTCTCCAGGCGTTCGTCAGACCAGGTGGAGAAGAGATCCAGAGACCTGGAAGGAGAGGGAGTCCCTTGCTGAGTAGGCGGAGTCACTATTGTTGCCAATTTTCATTCATCAAATTCTGATTATTCGGTTTGTAGTGGGAGACGAGATCTTCCATCCCCGGCAATCATCGATCGAGCGCAGCTTTCCTTAGGGTGCATTCGCAGCGAAATGTGTGCGTTGGACATGGCCCAACGGAAGTGCGTTTGCTTGTGTTGGCATCAGTGCTGCCCCGATACTATTATTGGTGCCGATGCCGAGTATTTGGGCGAGTACTTGTACTCACCCAAATGCTCCGATGCCTGGCCCGATACCCCGAACTTCCGGTATCAGGAAGCCGGGTGGCAAGTCATTACATGCTGCCCGGCTTCCTGATTGGCCCAGGAAGCTGGACGGCAAGTCGTTAAATGCCAAGGTTTTCTAATTGTGCCCGAAAGCCTTATCCATGCTCCCTCCTCACCTGCTGACAAGGGAGCATGGAGCCGGCTTCCCAGCCAATTAGGAAGCCGGGCGCCGTGTAATGACTTGTTGCCCGGCTTCCTGATTGGCTAGAAAGCCGGCTCCATGCTTCTCGTCACCTGGTGATGAGAGAGCATGGAGAAGGCTTTCTGGCCAATTAGAAAACC